GTAACACTAATGCAAAATACAACATTTTATCATGTTATTCCCTTGGTTTTAAAGTTTTAAAGGTATACCTTTCTGTGTTTTATCTCAATTTGTGGATATGATAAACAGTCCTCGTCTCTTCAAAACAGCTACATGAAATTAATTATTTATATGATGTGTTATGTCATCAAAAAATACGTGACACCCCACCTATGGTGATTCATCGTGGTGAACAGGATATGATCGAACACGCAGGAATTATTAGTATACTACTATTGGAATATATCGTATTCAAAAGATAAAATAATGCGAAGAAAAAGAAATAACTAATCGTTTACGGAGCTCAACGTGAAAGCAGTTTATATCATATTGTTGCTTTATTGAGCTGTCAAAAATAAAAGGTCTTTAATAACAAAACATGGCGTTGAAATATCTATATTTTTGGATAAAATGAATAGTCATAGCGTGCAACATGAAACAGAAATGACATTGCATGATGTATAAGACCAGTGAATTTTATTTTAGCAAATGATACTGTATACGTATATTTAGAACATGAGGGCCCTGACAACCGTTTGGATGATGGTTATGCATCACATGAGAACTCAATTGAAAATATGCCAAAGAAGCTAGCAATCAAGGTGTTTTCTGTCCAGAATAGTGGCTGGTATTGTGTGTATGTATGGGACATCTAAGAATTAAGGGGTGGATGTCAGTCAAATTAAGTGTAAACTTTAGTTAAAATGTATTTTTGTTTATCCAAGTACATATGCTGTTTAATTATGTGCAATCAGCATGTAAGACTGTATGTTCAGTGTTAAAACATATTCTAACTTAATATTGTTATCGTTGCCGAACGCGCCATTGGGCGGCAGATGTTGTATGCATTCTGCTAATAAGAAATTATTAAATATTCAACTATGAGTTCATATAATAAAACATATAATTTTGTACATTCGCTGAAAACGGTGTATCCAATGCTCACAGTACCGATAGGGAAAGTGGACCAGCAGCAAATGAAACGTACATGTACATTTATGAGTGAGTGTATTGTTAATTTCAGAGGTCATCTTGAAAACTCTTAACTCTTAAAATTGATCAGCTCGAAATATTTATATCCATAAACATAATGTCAAGAAATATATTATGAACGATTTATGTTACACATGATGCGGCTATTACTTTTCTGAAATAACGACGAGCACATGTACAATTTTGATTAATCTAGTAATGACAGCAACCATTCCGAGATACAAAATCAATCGCTGTAAAACATAGCTTGGATTAGCAATGAAATATTACATATTCTCTAAGGTGAATACTAGTCACGTACGGGATTAGTGGGGTCAGTGTTCAATATAAACCATCAACATCTGTATGAATGTGTTTTCGAACTTCCCGCAGTAATCGGGTTTTTCTATGACTATGGAGTCTACGAAATACAAACCTACTATTAAAATGATGTAGAAGTCGATTTTTGAATCCGAAGTAATTATGCCCATGATTGAAGGGAATTACACGTAATAGTGATCTAAACAATACGATGATAGAGTTGAATGTAAGGCTTGGCTGGTGCATAGCTTCCAATATTCTTAGGGTAGAGAGCTCGGTCATGATCTTCAGTTCGCATTCTGTTTTATGTGATGTTTCCAGGAATCGTATAGGGATATATAAATTGCCAACCCCTGAGAGCGTTCATAACTAGTATAGTTATTGATCAAGGCAGATGACGATACTACCCATATACCACGTGTCAGTGGATGATATTACGTAAACCCGAATTAAATAATTATTGTCTGTGAGATATGCCGGGAACATATATCATGCATAAATACACATAGTGTCATGATTTATATTTCCATGTATTTAGATGTGAGCCAGCTTTTGGCAATTATAACGACATTCACTGATGACCCCTGGGTAGTTGATATATGATGGAAGATCTGGACGATGTCAATCCACACCTGCTCATAACTTATATGCATGCTCAGGTTCATACGCATACTAGGGGATTAGTGGGATCAGTGATTGGAACAACTGGCGGATATAAATGTCAACTATGGAATGTTGTTTTAATATTTATGGCGCCGATGGGTATAAACTAACGGTTTCAATGTAGAAGTTATTTCCCTAATATAGGGGCAATCAATCAGATATATTATGGCGTGTTAAATACTTTGTGTGATTGGCTATATGTGTGGAGGCCACGCCTCGAGCTCTTGAACGTCCATATAAGAGGCGATGGGTTTGGAAAGGCTAATAAAGTAGCGTCAAGCAGTTCCCCTGTGGTGCTGGGATGAGAGGTTGATACGATACCATTCTTCGTGTGTTTTGTTCAGTGGAAAGGTGGCGAATTCCCCGATCTCTGTTACCTCAGATGATTGGCTTTAGAACACGATAATTAACCGCATCATAATACTATGCTTATGTTTCCAGTGAAGTGCCGAACAACGTTTCCCCTTCAAAACAATTCACAAAACGTATGTCAACATATTTGCGCCTGTGCATCAACAGAGAAACAGGTGGCAAAAGTTCAATAGATTTAATATCTGACTTGCATTTTTTTTGGATACCTCATTCTGTTGTTCCTCAACAAGTGGTCTCTGACAATGTGTACTACGTTGCATTCGACTCTGCAGGTGTTAAATGTAAATTGTCAGCTAGCCAAATCCAACTAACAAAAAATTATCGTGTTCGCATTATTAGGTTTTAAAACAAGGTTAAAAAACTGTTATGATAAATACAACTCTAGTAGAGCAACGTTCACAATTTTCACTTTACTCAAACCATTCCCTTATATTTATTGAAATTGCGTGTTTCAGACATATATTTGACACTTACTCATATACCGAATGCCTGTAGCATTTTAATGTCACATTAATTTTACTTAGGCGATTTTTCTGTCAGTAATTTAGAAGTTGAGATTAAATACATGTGATATATGTAAATGTGTATATGTAGTGGCAACCACCAAACTGCATTTATGAAATTGATGTGTTCTATATTGCGTGTTCTTCTGAATTGGTATGCCAGTTTATGGAAATAAGAATACAATAAATCGCTCGTCATCGGGAGTTTAGATTGGAAGTGACAAAAACAAACAACGGATTAAACTCCTGAGTCTATACTATCAAATCTGGTTGAAATAATTCAATTTATAACATTTGTATCAGAAGCTTTCAGAATAATTACCAAAAGTCCGTGGAAATGCTCTGGTACAACTACAAATAATAATGTTTAAAAAGGCTGATAATATAAATAGATACAGCAAACTTACATTTGTATATTAAATGGTTTATTGATTTTAAGTTTTTTGTCAAAAACACTTATTTGTTGTTTTAATAAAGTAAAAAAATTAAGAAGTGATGTTTATCTTATATTCGGCAAGTTACTCGTAGTATGTGAGTTCGTTTACTATTGATTGCCTTAATTCGACCCACTGAGTGTCAATTCTGATTAACATAATTTTTCATGACGGCAATTAATGATTTGGTTTCTACTGGAAGCCTGGCCATTCACTTCCAAATTAAATTTCTGTCATTTTTTGATGAGCTGCATGATATGTGATATACATCATTTAATTACATGTAATAATGTCCTGGTATGTGTTTTATAGGTTTTAAATGTTGACCTTCCTTGGCTTCAGAAGAAAGCGGGTTAAGCACAAGTAAGTCGAATCCGCCACACAAACTAAACATGAACGTATCCAGTCAACCACACATGCTAACATGACGTTTATTTGTGTATAGGACACCATCTAGCAGCCATAGGAAAATATAGAAACAGTTTAACAAACAAAGTCGTTCCATTATCATTATCAAAATATTATAGGCAAAGAATTACAATATGTCTAAAACGTAAGGTTTTAGTGCCTTTATCGGTCAAAACACATGCCTTTCCGATTTCAAAGTGTCGTGTTATGGCTTAATGTAACGATAAACATGTTTGTTGTCAAATGATACGACATGGTCCGTGGTGAATTGCACACAACCCATTGTACCAACATCAGCTACAACGCTAATTCCATGGTATACAGACACCGGACATATCATGTAATCGACTTCAATCCGATATCCCACTGTAATGAATAGTATTGTTTTAGTATATCAATAAAACGAACAATTTATTGTTTATTTTGTGGCAATAATTTCAAACTGCAAAACTAAATCAGAGAACGTTAAGAAAAAGAAAAAAAAAGAAAGAAAAAAAAATCATAGAAATTCATATTCACGGTCCTTACTAGCACCATTGCCATTACACAACCTATATGAGTAGCTCTTGATAACATGGCGGACGTGCTAGTAGTTATATCTTTCAACATATCCATAGTAATGTGCAGTGATCCATTATTGGGTGCGGGTTGTAAACCGAGTAATTCACACATCAGCGGGTAAAGATGAATCTGTCAAAGAGACAACGAAAAATAGTGAAGTATTAAGTGTTACATGGTGAAAGAAAAGGGCAAATTTAGAATCATATTAGAATAGGTGGGGGGTATTTTTGATCATGTGACGATCAGATGCCTGCTGTATACATGTATTTATATATCTTCGACAATACTTATCCGTGTTTCACTGGGGACACGGTATGTTAGTTGAAAAATTTTGTGTTTGTATGAGGGGTTGGAAACACATCAGTTGTCACTGAAGTACAGAGGAAACCCTTCAAACGTGTTGCTGCCCAGAAAATGGTTAATATTTACGTGCGTGATTTGATCGTGGTTTTGATTTAAATGTGTCGACAATTATTAAGTTTGTGTGCGGTTCTATGGAAGTTAATTTAAACTGTGTATCACCGTCTAACATTTAGATAATCGTTAGCTGTGATGACATCGGGGCTGATTATTGTCCTCCCTTTTGGCACTTCGTGCTCGCACTAGAGGATTCGCCGTTAGCTGACAAGCCTTTGTGTCTTATCGAATCAGAGAAATACATTCAACCACGTATTTGTTTAACTTGTCTATTTGGCGTAGTCGAGTCGGGCCTCTATTCGATTAGGTCTAGGTTTCCTACGATGACTATTTTAATATTACGTATTCACTGTTTTATTAAAATAGTTTTTTTTTTTTTTTTTGTATTTCAAGATTAAACTACACTAGTTTCACAATGACAAATACTTCAATCTTCATTGCGTTACAAATGATTCTCACTTACTGATTCAAAAGGCTGTGTTGTGTATCCCGTCTTGAATCGTGGTCCAATTGCATACAGTGGGCTCCACATTTCCCAGTTTCTGTAGTCATAGCCGTGCTGAGTTTTCATGAGACTGATGTTCATCTATACTCGGAATAAACGATGATAATTATGACATGAAACAACGAGCTAGTATGTTAGGATATATATGTCGTTCTCAATGACAAATAATTTATGAAATAATAGAGTAATGTTATTTGTTTAACTCGGTTAGAACAATATCACTTCAAGCAATGGCTATTCGGAAAACAAAAGCATAACTCATTCCGTCATGTGGTGGCGCCTTCTCCTCGGGAATGTTAACTTACCGTTAGTATAGTATATGGTGGATCTACAATAACAACCAATGGTAATATTCGTTCATGTTCAGAAAAATGTAAATGTTTTGGAACTTCCGCTTTCTTATAAACATGCATATGTGGGTGCGCATCCGATAACTGCTCATATATCTGCAAGGAAAGACATGCGATTTTTCAATATAGTTTTCAAATATGGCACGCTTGGCCCAGAATACAGGTCAAGTTAAAGTGACTGAATTGGTCTCATTTTCACTAAACAACTACGAGTTACTCGTTGTGTCATGCATTATATCCACGAAGTTGAAACACTTTTGTTAGATCCATAGAGGGCAGCTATGATCAAATAATATCATGTACTGTTGTGTTATGAATTGAATAACAGTTCAATCGCGAATGTAATGAGTTATGTTTATTGACGCTTACGGGACGTTACTTTGCTAAGCATAGTACAGTGTTTACTTTCATGTTTCACGTACCTTGTTCATTTTAATAGTATATAGCGCAAAGCTTGAATT